GAAAGTTCATTTACCTGCTTTGTCAGCTTTGCAACTTGCTGTTCAATGGGAGAGGTAGATGCCGTAGCAGCACTATTTATGTGCGGGAGAGTTGTGAGATCTGTAATTTTATCAGCTACAACTGCTAGTTTTGGAAGATCATCACTTAAGGCAGCAAGAATACTTTGTGTATTTTGCGGAAGACGAGATATCCATAGGGATTTCAACAAAGGCCCTCCAATGGTCTCTCCAGCGAGGTTTCGCATACGGCAAAGTAATTGTGATGGGCGTTGATGGCCAAGTTCTAGCCCTTGAAGAAGTGTACGTATCTTTGACTCCTCACTTTCAGAATGCAATTCAATTAAGCGTGTTTTTAGTGTATCATATTTGCCAGTCACAGGTGGGTGTAAAACGATATCACAAACGCTATTGAGAATATCAGATTCGATTGCAGATATCACATGATTGAATTTCGTGGAGTCAACAGTGATTCCGGCGATATCAAACTGGGCCTCTAGTTGTGCAAACCACAAAGTAGGGTTGACCTTCCAAAATGGGGGAGGTTTGACGGAAACACGTGAAATATTAAGATCGTCTGCGATGGGTTGTGGTGGAGCCATGATTCACAAAAACAAATATATATTGCCAATATGACACAAATAAATACACAATAATCAGTCACTAATAAGTTCACATACGACACTAGTTCAAAGTAAATAAAGTTAATGTAAACATTAACGTGAGAGAAACACTTTTGCAGGTAAGCTATCGGAATATAAGCATAAGTAATACTAAGAATTTGCGTGGCTTACCTCCGAATTATACGAGAAATATTTGCTCAGTCAGCAGCAGATTCAGCACAACACAATTCACTTATAGAAAAAATATTCCGAAAAAACTTATTTTATGATATGTAACCACGTTGTACGATTTATATGGGAATCACTTCAAAGCACTTTGACGATTTGCATGAGACACATGATAATTCACAAGCACGTTGTTAAGCAGGCGCAACTGTTTTTCACACTATATTGCTGATGACACGAAAATAATGATGGATTACGCTAGTAGTTTGCATGAACAGAAATAATTTTCACTTCATAGCACACTATAATCACAGAACTTGAGGATGCAAACAGGTTACAGGAGGCACGTGTTCACTAACTTGACGAGTCACCATTTATGGCTGTTGTTAATGGATGCCATTTTTGATTGCACGTTGAATGCTAACAAAATCTGACTCGGTAATATTAACATTTATATTTAATTCTAGGATGATATAATATTTTAAAACATATATTCACTTATACACAATCACATTGCATGTAGTTACAAGATGAGCATTTTTCAGTTCGCAAGTCCGCATGAGTAAAAATCAAGAAAGTCATATTACAGCTACGATAACATCACGGAGGGAAAGAGAGGTGAGTGCGTGCTTCACCGACGGCAGCCAGGAACCGAGTAACCAGTTCGAATTTTTCTCCAGAGAGGAAGAGGAAGAAAGCTGCTAGCGCCCTCTCTCGGGGCAGCGGACAAATAATAATAATAAAGAGTTCTCCACATATCTAATGAAAAGCAAAGAACTGAGGAAAATGGCAAACATTGTTTATTTTGTAATAAGTCGTTTCATAATACTTTAGAATGCTTTAAGGCTGTCAAGATGTCATTGGAGGCGAAAAGGGGGACTTGTTTCGTCTGTTTGAAATCAGGCAATAATTCTAAGATCTGCAAAGCTTATTTAGAATAAAGCAAGAAAAAACACCATAGCATTACTTGTCCAAATATAAATCCATTAAAACAAGACAAACAGTCTGAATCGGATGCATAGGTTCTTTTGGGAGTGACGAAAAATTTCTCAACATTATTGTTAACTGTATTGGTGAAAATCATCAATGATGACAGGTCCGGAATTGTTCGCGGATTATTTGATACTGGTGCTCAGAGGTCTTTCATACGAAAGGATAATGCGCAGAAATTAGAATTGAAACCTGTAGGTCAAGAATTGATGAGTCATGGACTTTTAGGGGGCAGTGAAATGCATATTCACAAAGCCTACAGACAATTTCGCTACGTGCTCTTCATTGGAGGAAACATCTGCTTGGCGGTCATATTTGGAATGGCGAGTTATCGCCCTGTAGGAGTGGTAATTAACAGCAAACAAACGGAAACAGCGTTTATTTCATTCAATATTTTTTTAGTTTATGAATGAAAGCTTAGAGGAATTGTGTGGAATATATCTTAAATAACCTACTGATCTTATTAATAGTTTATTTGTATTTGAATTTAAACTTCTAAAAGTACGTAATTGTTTTACAAGAAAAGGTGTTTATATCGAGACAGCATATGCACTTTTCGTTATTTTCACTTAGGAAGAGTCTGTTGTATAAATTTTCATAGCGCATTAATTTATACAAATAAAGAAATATTAAAAAATTAACCTAATGAAAACATTCAGTAAACATTTAAGGGTGTCGAATACCTATTCTTTTTACCTAAATTATGAGTAAGTATAACTAAAAATTATATTTTATTCCATTATGCGCTATATCTATTGAAACGCTTTTTGGGATCCTTGGATCGTAATCTTGCTTACTGGTACCTACTATGTACTGCAAAGAGTACAAACCAGTAAATAAAATAAGAAAAATCAAACATTAACAAAATAGAGAAAGTAAAGGCGTTTAATTTTTAACACCGTACCCGAATGAGAAAAGACAAATAATGACAAAGTCATTCAATAAAGTTAAAATAAAAATAAATCCGTATAAAGCAGAGTTTATAAAAGCTACGAGCGGGGATAGAACCGGCCACCTAGAAATCTGGGAATTATTCTCGCGCTCGTTACCACTGGGCTGCGGTTTCTCCGGGGGTTATGCTCACTTTTTGGTACACGACGCTCAGATACAAATTGTAAAGGCGATGAATCAAAAGTCGCCAAGCACTAGATTCTGTAACCCTTCCTCTTTTAACCAATCGGAGCAAACAGCAGAAGAAACGGTCTGTAGGCTTTGTGAATAAGCCAGTGAAATGCGGAGAATTCAGCCCATTGCTAATAATTTGGTAGCTATTAAAACAAAATTTGGATGGACGCTTCAAGGTAAACAAAGAAACTACTCAAAATCTTTGGAGAGTATTGTATATGCTAATAATTTAGATTTGCCGGAATTATGGAGCCTAGATGTCATCGGTATAAGATGTTCTGCAGAAGTAAAGTTAAGCCAGGTAACCGATGAAGAAACAGTAGATTTTTTCCGTAAAACTATTAAAAAAACAAAGACAAAAGATATGAAATATGTTTGCCATGGAAAAGTGTACGTGCTCAGTTAGAAACGAATAAAGAATTAGCCACTAAACAGTTAATGTCAACTACAAAAAATCTCATAAGATCTGGACATTTAAGAGAATATGATGGTGTGTTTAATGAGTGGATTCGGAATGGAATTATTGAAATTGTAGATAAAGTCGAGAAAAAGGGACATTATTTACCACATCATCCTGTGATAAAAACTGATGTAACAACAACAAAAATTCGTACGGTTTTTGATTCGTCGACGAAAGATTCCAAAGAAAATTTTTTGAATAATTGGCCCACCAGCGGCCGAGCGGCAAAGACGCTGAACACTAGTAGTTCGGTCTGAGGTTCGAATCCCGTGAACGGGCTGGCTGTATGGGCGTTTTCGTGGTTTTCCCCATGTGTAACGTGTATACGAGCCAGTTTCCCTTAGAAAGTCGTCCACGAAGGCATCCCTCCCTTTAGGCAGATAGCCCTCGTGTGCTTTGCCATAATTAAATAATCCAATCCAATCCTTGAATAATTGTTTAGAAAAAGGGCCAAATTTATTAGAATTTGTACCCAGATTGATAATGCAGTTTCGGAATAACGTAATTGACGTAACATCAGATATCAAAAAAAGCATTTTTATAAATCAGCTTGAATCCAGAGGATAGGGAATATTTTTAATTTTTGTGGTAAAAGGATTTCTCAAGACGAGAAGAAAAAGTCACTCTCTGACATTGTAAAGTGATTGGTGCTTCTCCTAGTTCATTTTTACTAGAAGCAGCTATAGCTTACCATATAGAGAAAGCTTTGGATGAAAGGAAGCAAACAGCTTGTCGACTCAAAGAATCTTTTTATGTGGACAACTGTATTACGGAAGTTTTTATTATGGCTTTAAGAAGATTCTTTGCTGGAAGAGGTAGAGTAAATATAGTCTACACTGACAACGGTACAAACTTCATTGGTTCAAGCAATGCTCTAAAAAATTTAGATTGGGAGAAGATCATGTCGTTTTCACTATCAAGAAAATCAAATGGAATTTTAACCCTCAAACAGCCGCCTAGTGGGGAGGATGGTGGAAGCGCATGATTAGAATCTTTCTTACAAAGTATTCCTAGCAGTGAAACAACTGATTTAGACGAAATCGACAGTAAAAGCCTAAATATTAAGATTCCGTTTTGTACACAAATTAAGGCAGGATTTAAGAATAATATTTCGGAATGAGTATTTAGCAATGTTGATTCATAAAGGTAATATCCGAGAAGAATCTTTAAGAGTCTCAAATACTTTATCCGTTAAAAATCACCAGTTTGGAAAAGTTATCATTCATTTCCAAAGATGCTCGAAGGTATGAAAGTGCCTCTACGAAGATGTCTCTCGCCCTGCAGCTAATGATTCAGATTCCAGTGAAGATGATGATTCATAACCCAAAGTCCCACATTTTGCTACTAGAGCTGGTCGACGTGTTAAAAATTGATTTATAACAATTTATAGGTATCCTAAAAATTGCAAGGTGGGAGGTTGTTTGAGTAATACCAGCTACAACTCAACTCTGTTTAAGTTTTATGTTTTAAAATAAGCTCTATCGTTTTTGTAAGAATAACTACTATGTATGTAAATTTTTGTCTTCTTTCATGCATTGATTTAAGGAAAGTTTCCTTGCAATATTGAGGGGATGTCGCCACTTGAATTAAAAGTTTAGCACTTTCTGTTTCATATTATTTAATCAATGAATCTGGCAACTCAGTTTTTGTTTGGAATGTCGTCTTCGGCAAAGTTCTTAGCATGAAGCGAAGAATATGTACATAGACTTTCTTTGGCACGAAGTATAGCCAAAAAACGTCTACGCGCTATATTGATTGTTTTATTATATGTACTGCCGAAGCAAATGCCTATTTTGAATGTTGTTCATTGTTAAGGTGTAACGATGCGTATAAATAGCCTCATTAGTCTCTGTGTGCTTGGTACTCTCATTAGTCTCTTATGAAGTTAAAATAAATCGGATATTAAAGGAAGTTAGAATTTCGAATCGAAACAGGTATTTATATATATCCAAAAGAAGATTATACTCATGTATACATGTAGCAGTTTTGGACTCGATAGTAGTTTAAACATAAATATATATCTTCACGCAGTAAAGAAAATAATGCGGTGCTTAAACAGCAACACACGCATTTTCACACAGGAGGTAAACATCTTGTTTGTATGAAAATTAACAGGTAATTTATAAAGTGGAGTTTCACTAACAAAATATCAATCTTCTTTGTATTAGGTCATTCAGTAGAATGGGGGGAAAGAAATCTTATACATGTGACGTATGTGACAAGTCGTTTAAACGAAACACTGATTTAAAGTACCATATGTTTATCCACACAGGAGAAAAACCTCATGAGTGTGAGGACTGTAACAAGTCGTTTGCAAAAAAGAGTGAATTAAAGGTACATATTCGTATTCACACAGGAGAAAAACCTCATACGTGTGAAGTGTGTAACAAATCATTTTGTCAAAAGCGCCAGTTAAATAAGCATATGTTTACACATGCAGAAGAAAGACTCCATGTGTGTAAGGTATGTAACAAGTCATTTAAACGAAGTACAGATTTAAAGCAACATTCTTTTATTCACTCAGGAGTAAAACCTCATACATGTGAAGTGTGTAATAAATCATTTTGTCAAAAGCGTCAGTTAAATGAGCATATGCTTACACACAGAGAAGAAAGACCTCATGTATGTGAGGTATGTAGCAAATCATTTAAACGAAGTGGAGATTTAAAGAAACATTCTCTTATTCACAAAGGAGAAAAACCTCATACATGTGAAGTTTGTAATAAATCATTTACTGATAGGTCTGGTTTAAGAATGCATATGCTTTTACATACAGAAGAGAAAAATTATGTGTGTGAGGTATGTAGCAAGTCATTTTTACGAAAAGCAGATATAAATAACCACATGTTCACTCACACAGAAGAAAAACCTTATAAGTGTGAGCTGTGTAGCAAGTCATTTGCAATAAAGCATCGTTTAAAGGAACATTATCTTACTCACACAGGAGAAAAACCTCATACTTGTAATGTATGTAAAGTATCGTTCAGTCAAAAGGGTACTTTAAATTCACATATGCGTATTCACACAGAAAAACGTCATATGTGTGAGGTATGTGACGTGTCATTCAGAAGAAAATCTGATTTAAAGCGTCACATGTGTAATCGCCCAGAAGAGACATCAAATGAACTTTTTATGTGTGATGTGTGTAGTAAATCATTTGCAAATGAAAGTCTTTTAATTGAGCATGTCATTGTTCACACAGAAGACAATCCTTATGTTTGTAAAGTATGTCAACGATCATTCAGTCAAGAGAGTTACTTAAACATACATAGGGATAATGCACACACAGTTCATGTGTGTGAAGTATGTTTTGAGTCATTTAGACGAAAAACTGATTTAAAACTGCATATGTTTTCTCATACAGGAGAGAAGCCGTATGTATGTGAGGTATGTAACAAGGAATTTACCAAGAAAGGTCATTTAAAACAGCATGCTTTGGTTCACAATGCAGAAAAACCTCATGTGTGTAATGTATGTGAACGAGGGTTCAATCGTAAGGCTCATTTAGATAAGCATGTTCTTACTCACACTGAGAAACCTGGTGCAAGTGATTCAGATTGGTGTGAGGAGTTATTAAGAATGTTATAAGCCATTTTCCCAGTAAAATAGCTTCATGTGTGGAAGATATGTAATATGTCATTTTGTCAAAAAGTAACTACAATCAGCATATGCTTCTTCAAATTGAACAGAAACCTTATTTATGTGAGTTATACACAGGACCAGCACCAGAGGTGGTACAACTGGTGTAGATATACAAGTGGCAGAAGTTATTGAATTTAGAGAGGTACTGAGTGAAAAACTCTGAGAATTGCAGATATTGCACTGAGTGCCAAAATACCTAGTTCTGGGTCCTGCGTATGCAGGAAATCATTTAAACAAGATAGTTAAGTGTGTCTGTGCTTTATTGTACTGAAATGAAATCTCATCTGTTTGAGGTATGTAATGAGTTATTTAAAGAAAACGGTGCTTTAACCCTTTTCGGTGCAGTGTGTTCAGTGTGAACACAACAAAAATATTCCCTCTTTAGACACTGAAAATAATCGATAAATATCACGAAAACTACACTAATGGTTACTTTTAATCTCTTTTATGAATAATAGATGGCAGCAAAATGCAAGCAAATCATTAATTTTGAGATATATTCTGTTTTTAAAGACACTGACTTTTCAAAGAAATGTTTCAGATTTTTTTTAATATAAAGAATATCAATGAAAAAAATCTTTATATAATTTTGTTGATCATATGCTAATCTGCCTATTCTGTATTACTTTTAAGTTTTATCTTTGAAATATTGCATATAGTGAAGCCTTCAATGTATGGTGTGTTCGGACTGAACGCACTGTACTGGTAGTGCCTGTCACATGGGAGTGAGTCACAGAATCTGGTCTCGTGCTTCAAACACGGGGGAGGCTGAAAGCGCAGATTTATTTATATTTGTTTTTATTCTTTTCTGTTTTTGTTTTTGAAGATTCCCAGTGTTTTGTTTTCACTTAGCTATTTGATTTTCAGCGAAAGCAGGCACTTTGTTTTCTCTTGCTTTCATTGTGCGTACTTTGCTTAGTTTTGACTTCTGTAGATTTTTATCTGTATATATTTAATAATTATTTTTTCTACACAATAATTAATTGTAAATGCTATAATAATTTAATTATTTTTCTTATAAATTTTTAAATTGTGTAAATGGCTGAGAGGCCTCAGCATTGCCGAAGCAATGAGAGTTTCCTTTTTTTCCCGTTTTTTTTTGGGGGGGGGAGTAGAGTAGCAGGCCACCCATGGTGCACCCTGGGTTATGCTAAATCTGCTACAGAGATCAGATTCTACTGTTTTTAAGTCATAGACCAAGTATTTTACTGTAATATGTGCTTCGTAGCAATGGTCACCTATCGTAGCTCATGTGCCTCTGTTCGCTTCAGACACACCCACAAAATGATAACAGTTTGTGAAATCTTTGTAAAATTATACCTGCATACTCTCCTAGGCCTAAATAGACTGCCTACAAATATTTTTGGAAAAATTCCAATTTTAAAGAGTAGCGTGCTCGAAAGGGTTAATCAAGCACTTGTGTATTCACACAACAGAAAACCCTTATGATTGTAAAGTCTGAATATAAATGTATACTTATGTACATGAATATATGCTCATTTGGTACAAAACAGAATCTTTTCCATCTGTGACCTGTGTAGAATCTCATCTGAGTAAGTTTTGCAATTAGTCATAATATTTTAAGTGCATACTGCATATTTTTCTCTCTATACAGCATTTATTTGTGATGACTAGGTGAGATAGTAACTTGGAATTCTAGCCTATATAATAACTGTTTTCCCTTCCTGCATTCTGTAATGTTGCACTTTGAATGGCCAGTAATGTATTATGATTACTGTTGTTATTAATTGCTTTGTGAACTGGTATTCTGCTATAAATAGCAAAACAAAGCATTTTATAAGAAATGCAAAACTTTATGTCCAAAAAATGAAAAAAAAAAAAAAAAAAAACATCTGGCTGGTCAATATTTACATTTTTAGTCATTACATGCTGTTCAGTAATGATACTTATTAAAGCTTTTAAATTTATGTGTGCAGCCTGTGCTTATATGGGTGAGCTATTGCTGTGTGCTTGCTAAGAAATATGTCAAGAACATAACACTTCTAGCTGGTAACCGAAAAGAACCAAATATAGTTTTCATGCATATGGATATGAAATATTATTAAACTAAGACTAAATGTGCTATATGAAATAGAGCAATTGTAAAACATGAAATAAATAATCATATTATATTTTTCATTTTTTATAATACACAGAATGAAAGGGTGACTATACTGTATATGTAAAGGCAGAACAGTTGCATTATATATTATATATGTGAAGAAAGTTATAGCTCAAAATGGAGCTTTTTAAGAAGAGTGTTGAGTTTTGGACCATTTAGCGTAACTTATTAATAGCATTTTCTGAACAGCTGACAATTTCAAATACAAATTAATTACAAGTATAAATGCTTAAAATAAAAAAATAAAAAAAAGAAACAATTACCCAGGTCGGGATATTACTGTATAATGATTAGAATGACACTTTTTTCTAAAATCTACATATATATTTTTTTCATTCAGTACTTTAAACAGAAAAAAAAAAAAAAAAAAAAAAGTTTGCTGCATTTTCAACTCCTGATTTCTCAGTCTATTATGTACAATTCCAAATGTTCTTTTGGTTCTTCCTGTAAATTTTAATTATATCCAGTTCATTGCACTATATATTCTTTCACTAGAGTTATTGATTCCATCACTCAGGTGACTTTTTACTGTCTCATATGCCTCAATTTGGAAAAGAGCAAGAAGATCGACTGCTTAATATCGTACTTGCAGTTTTGTTAACTAAAATATTACTGCATGTCTGTGTGTATTGTTTTTATGTACAAGGCCAGTGCATTCCCACTGCAGGCAAAACTTTTAGGAGATAGGAAAAACCTGGATGGTAGAAATTTAGAAGTCGCAGTGTAGTAGTGAAAATCCGAGTACCAAGCCTGTGCATATATCATCTAATAATTTATTACCTAAATCCCTTTTAGATAGAGGCATACACTGAGGACACATTTCCATTAATTTTATAAAATAAGTTTCCCACACTACGAACTGATGCATTTTCAGCAAAAAACCTTTACCTACTTAATCAGTATTATATTTTTTAGAAGAGTGTTTTTAAGCACGTTTACTTAGATCATCCGTTTGTGCTTGGTGCTTAAATAAACACCAATGTGACACTTTTTTTGCATGAATTAAAATGAGCTTGTGTGTTTTGAATTAATGCACTCATCATCCCATTTGTGCTTGGTGCTTAGACATGGAAGTGACAAACCTTTTTACACTTTGTAAAATGAGCTTGTTTTTAAAATATTTTAAACAGTTTTTATGTGTTTTGAAAGCTCCTATTTTTTATATTCCATAATTAAAATTATTTTGAAAACATCACAGATTGTCATATTTGATTTTTAGACATTTCCCATCATTTCAAAAAGTGAGATAATACAGTACAAAGTCTTTAATCCGGACTCTTTGGGACTTTGGCGATTCCTAATTATAGATCATGAATTTAAATCTGGTAAGATGGCATGCAGAAATTATACAATTAAAAATATGAAACCATAATTTATGAAATAAAGAGCAGTTATGATCTAAAGGGTATCATAATTTACAAAAAAAAAAAAAAGCTTAATATTTATTTGTTTACTTTATTAAACATTTCTCTTAACGTAAGTTGTTTAAGTTGCTTCGTTTTATGTGCTAACACTTTCTCTTTAATTCTATAAACAGGCGTAAATTCTTGTTCAGTTACTAAGTTCCGCTGTTCAAGTCCTGTAATTGCTGTGCCGAGAATTCTGACTAACTTGTCCATCGAAATTTTTTCGTTTTCACTAACCTCTCTGTCACTTTCTTCATGCTTTTATCCATTTTTTGCAGCAATTCCACTTTTTGTTTGATGGACATCGAAACATGCTTTCGCTTTGTAGATCCTTTGGCAGCTCCAGAATCGGAAACTCTTTTTGACATAATTGAAAGTTAAGCTTACTTTTTATAAAATTGCTCTAACAGTCTGCAAAAATTAATAAGACAGATCCAATTAGAAGATTAAGGAACAACCCAATCTGCAACATTAACTGAAATAGATAATTTTAGTCTATTTTATACCATCCGGTATACATTAAACGTGCATGCATAAACGCTATGCACGTGAAGAAAATTTGTAGCTGTGAGGTCCGGATTATAGATCATTACAGATTATGGACGTCCGGATTAAAGACTTTGTATTGTATATGATTTTTATCGATGAATTTTAAAAGAAGTAATTTCTGGTTAAGATCAATATGTCTTGCTTTTAAAATCAAGAAGTAATTTCTGATAAAAAGCATTTCCAGTATGATGTGCATTAGTATAATACCCAGGAACACTAAAATGTAAAAAGTTGCTGACATTCTTCTGTTTAATTTTTTAATATAAATTAAAATTTTTTTAATATAAGTTTATGTGTAGATATATGCTGTATTCTCTTATCTACTTTTAATATCAGTACTGCAGATTTTACATGTACAGTACATGACTGTTACTATTTTGTTATTTTAAGAAAGTAAATCATATGTTAGTTAATAGATACATAAATCGGTACTATCCCATTATAGCGGCATCAGTTAAAAATGAAGAAAAAATTAGAACACAATGCTACAATAACACGCGAAATTTCATGGCTCAAGATAGCGCTTGAAATATCATAACTTGTTATTTTTTGCCAGATTTCGCCATTTTTTAGTACGATGGATTACACAATTTGGCAGTTACCTAATGATGAACAGGTTGTCATAAGATTCTCTCAGGAGAAAGGAAAATATTATAGCAATAGATGTGTTCTCAAAATCATCTGACGAAGTTAACTTCTAATTCAAACAAAGCTCCTATATGGCATTGTTACATACATTCTTGCTGTGGAAAAAAAAAAAAAAGGATTGAATTAACGTCGATTGAGTTTTGCTAATTTCTGTTAGAAATCAGCCATAATACGAGAAGATTGGAATAGCTATGCTGAAGTCTTTTCACAAAAAGAAAAAAACAACGTTGGACGTCTTAAAGGGACAATGGTTATTTGGGGGTTTAATGCCGAGAAAGCAAAGAATGTTTTCCTGCAGCATTGATAACTGCTATTCAGGAAACATCACAGATGGCAGCATTATATTTTCAGACTACTAGAAAGGTTATAAGAAAGAGGAATTGAGAAATGCTGGGTATGAACATTTTACTGTAAATCACAGTTATAATTTTGTAGACCCCCGAAACTGGATACCATACCCAAACTTTGGAGCGACTGTAGGGCAGTGCTAAATCGAGAAATAAACATAGGCTGTGCACTGCTCGCAACCAGTTAAGAGTCATATTTGATAGAATTTATGTGGTTATATTCAAAAACTGAAATTTTTTCCCCAATATTGAATGATAATTGTAATTTTATGCCACCTGTTTAGATTGAATTTAGTTTTGTTATTTTTTATTTATGTGTAGAATATCGTAAATTAAAAAAATTAAAAAGAAAAATTTACTTTATTTAGGAATTAAGAAATTTAAAAAAGTTTTGTTTTTACGGAACTAATTTTTATTAGTCTTTTGAACTCTATTATTATTTCATAATTTTATACATGGCAACAAGTGGTGGAAAAAAAATTAGATTCATTTTTAACTGACATCGCTCTAAACCAAAAGTACCCATAAATCGCTAAAAGTATTTACAATACAAATTTATGAAATATTTTATTTCATGGATTCTTTTTATAAAGAATTATAAACATATTAATCAATAAGTAACAACATATAGCATATGTAAATTAGTTTTAAAAATATTTTTATACCTATAAGTAGTAGCAAAATTATTCTTAATTTCTGTTTGTACTTGAAAATATACAGTGACATTTTTATCAGGGTAAGGGATTATCTGAACCTAACAATGAGAGCTTTGAATATATTCTGTGGCTTTTCATATACAGATGATTGTTAATCGATTTCATATACAGATGATTCATGTACAGTTGATGTTGCATATGTTGTTGATTCTTATACAGATGTTATATATATTGTTGTCCTATTAATAGAAAAGTAATGCTAGCTTTTGTGTTATAATCAATTAATGATATATTTATTATTTATTTTTTATTTCAAAAGTCATGTTAGTCCCCAATGGTGTATTAGTCTCGAAACAGTATTTTGTGTTGAAATGCTTAAATGCCTTGTATCACTTTTCAAACTATTGCCACCAAATAGTATTGTCTTGTGTTATATTTAAAGAAATTAAATAATGAAGAATATGCATGAATCCGTGTATATTTCTCGAATTGTGAAAAGAACAACGATATCTAGAGCCATAAAATTTTGAATAACGTAGTCATCCACCCGAACAATGGCACCTGGAAGCCCACGTTTGCAATTTTGAATTTGTTTATATATATATATATATATTATTTTCTAAAACTTTAACTAGTTTTTAATTAACAAACTCGGTGATTTGAAAAGGACCAATGGAAACATGGTATGGGAGAAAAAAAAAAAAAATCTTTATTTGCAGCACGTGACTGTTTATCAGAATATCTAAAGGTAAACATTTTAAATTATTTTGTGATATTGCTGTTGAATCTTATGATTTAAGTGTGAACATGATAGTTAATAGATAAAAGTAACATACAAAACATTAAAAAAAACCATTTGAGTGTAATATAAAATCTGAAGGTTTTTAGATACTTTTTCACTATTTTTTATTTGTTAATTTATTTTTTTTATTATGCCACACATATGCTGTATTGAAACATGCAAAACAAATTATAAGAATGGCTTGAAGGTGGCAGTATTTAGTTTTCTTATGGAAGAAGAACTGAGAACAAAATGGATTTGGAATTGCAAACAACAAGATAGATTCCAGCTTATGAAACATTCAAAGGTAAACATGCATTCCATTTTTATATTAGAAAATTCCTGAAATACTAACGTTATTGAAACATAAGGAACTTGAAAATATGAAACAAAAAATTCTGATTCCAAGGAAAATAACTTACTAAAATTCTATTGCATTCAACCAAAGAAAATAAAACAAACTTTTATATGAGCATTTCATTGCCTTCTATACAAGCATGGTTATGTATTTATTTTACTAGGCTGAAATTTATATTTTCCCTGGAGCATAAAGTCCAATCTTATAATATTCATATTATAATAACTTAATAGGATGTTAGTCCCAAATGGGATACTAGGCTCAAAACAACATTTTGGTTTTAAAAACTTAGCTATGTTGTATCACTTTTCAAATTATTGCCACCAAATATTATTGCCTGTTTAAAGAAATCAAATAATGAAGACTTTGTATGATTATGTGAATGTTTCTCGCATTGTGAAAAAAACAATGGCATCTAGAGTCCAAAAAAAATTTAATAACGTAGTCCTTCACCCAAACATGGGTACCTGGAAGCCCAGATTTTGAATATGTTTTTTATCTATTTCATATTTTTTGAAACTTTAATGAATTTTTAATTAATTAATTCAATAATTTCAAAGCGAGCGGTGGCAACACTGTATAAAAAAAAATCAATCTCCCATGTGCAGGACAGTCTATCAGAAATTCTGAACATATGCTTGTTTTTAAATATTTTGTTATTTTGCTGTTGGATCGAAATTTATATGGTGTAAGTGTTAAGAACATGACATTTAGTTTGTAGAGTCATTAGGTTAATTGGAAGCAGAAAAGGTAAAAAATATGCAACCGTCTTCGCCGGGAATTGAACCATGGACCTCTGGAATACCGGCCCAGCGTACTACCGTTACACCACGAAGGCACGCTAGGGAAGTGGGAGAGAAAATACCTTATATACTCCCCTTTTTAAAGGGCGACTAGGGTTTTAGGGGCCATAGTCGCAAATCTGGGTGCGGAGAATCATCATCCACAACCCTTTTAGTTCGAGCGCCACTTGTAGAGTCATTAGGTTAATTGGAAGCCGAAAAGATAAAAAATATGCTATCGACTTCTCCGGGAATCGAATCACGGACCTCTGGAATATCGGCCCAGCATGCTACCATTACACCATGAAGGCATGCTAGGGAAGTGAGAGAGAAAATACCTTATAAGTTAATATAGTAAACACACAAAACGTTAATAACACCAACAAAAAAAAAAAAAAAAAAAAAGCCATCTTAGTAAGAAAACTGAACACTCATATGATGCACTGAGAAAAGACTGGAAAAAAAAAAAAAAACAGAAAAATGTATGCCCATACTTAACACTGCATCCTGCATCAGGAATCCTAAATCTGTTCTGCTACGCTGCTTTGAAAATTTTTATAATGCTCCTGTTCAATTTTATATGGCATAAATCCAAAAACAATTATGGGTTAGTAGGAATGAGTATAACTGAAAACTGGTAGACTGTGAGCCTGGTGACAGCACACACACACACAAAAAAAAAAAAAATCCCCTTTGGGCAACTGATAAAATCTGAAACCTTTCAGATTTGTTTTTTGTTTACTATATTTAAGTATCAATTAAAATTCCTGTGTTAAGAGATATATATTTGATAAGGTCTATAAATTATGTAAAGGTTGTAACTTTCATTG